AGCATACCATAGGTGGCACGGTAAGACCTAGACCAATTTTTTCCGATTTATATGAGATTTGGCTTGATGGTGTAGGGCGGGCAATCTTGAATGAGTTTGCAAACCAGCAGGATGGGGCCATTTTTTTATATTTCTTTTTTAGTTTTTGTGCTAGGATGCTAGGCACGAGCACGGAATTGTTTTTCACATTACTTCAGGCTAGACCTAGGAGTTGCGGCACTATCACTTAGATAAAATCCATTAGTGATTTGGAGGGATTTGAACCCGGGACCTCAGGGACCAAAGTCCCGCGCTCTAACCACTAAACCATCTCACTCCCCAGGATGGGACCATGGAAACAGCGCAGCGGTTTTATGCAATTAGAATTGGGTTTTCTAATTTTTTACCCTCAAAACATAAAATTTTCCAATTTGACTTTTTAAACAATATTACAGAGAGCTTAAAAAACAAACAATTTATTACCTATAGAAGTATTTTTTGTTTATGGATATAGTTGAATCTAACTTGGCAATATTAGGCCTGAGCTATTAATATTTCACAAAAAAACACGCTTTATTACCTTCTTGTTGCAGCAAACATAGGTACTTGTTAAACCTAATGTTATTTAAATAGATTTAATTTAAAATCCAATCAGGTAAATAGATATTCGCTTAGTCTGCAGGTTTGCTGGGGGATAGTTTCATTATAGTACCCTGCTTGCTTGTTACCAAACATAAACTAATCATATTTTAGACCCAATCCTCAATGAGTTCATAAATTATGAGTAGGCCTAACCAATATTTGAAAGCGTTTATCAAAAAGCTTTTACAATGTGATCCGTTTCCATTTTCTGTAAATTAACATAGTTAAAATCAAAATCCAATCTACTAACTGACAACATCATCGATCAAAACTGAAAAAACAAAATTACTTCACTCTAAACCTGGAACGGCCATCGAGTGTTGTCGGGTTGCAATTAAATCAGCGAACCGTACTTTGTTGAATGATGCATAAAATAGCTGCGAAAAGGTCAAACCAAAGCTTTCACGGTTATTAATCCTACTAATTGAAATATAAATTAATATTAGGATTATCAAGTGTTACACTTCTTGTAGTAGATCATTAGACCACAGGACTTCTTTCCTGAACTCCAATTGGTAACCCTGTGTTGGGGGGGGGGGTCACATCCCAGGTACCATAGGTCCTTAGAAAACAACATTCATATTGGAGAATTCTTTTTCATATAAAAAATCAGAAATATTATTGAGGTGTAATACAGGGTGGGGCAGGGAAATATCCCTAACTTTTAAGATGGCACTGTGAGTAGTGGGCGTGTGCTGGAGAAATGGAGTTAGACTCAAATGAAGCTTTTGTTTTGGGAATTTCTAAGAATATCACTTTCAGTAGTAGACATGGCTTTTTCGAGTGAGCAATGTGCTTTTGCACTCGAGATGTATTTTTTTTTTATCAGTCTATTGTTGCTGTGCAGCTAGCGTTGGCTGCAAACTTGTTATCGGGTGGCCTGTCGCAAAGCTGTTCCAATTTGGTGTGGGTGAATTACTTTAATGTATGTGGTGGTGTATTGCGAAGGATATTTGGAGCTCAAAGAACCGTCCGGAGTCCTGAAAACATTGACCTTGTCAGAAGATCGATTTTGCAGTCTCATCAAAGTTCTGCTTGTAAGAATGCATCCGCGCTGGCGTCGTCTAATCGTACAATTTATAGTCGTAAATTTTACAATTTATTTCCAAACCATTTTGTACAGCTTAAAAAAACAAATAATTTAGTATATTGAAGCGTTATTGTGCTCGTTACAGAGAAAATTCCAAAAAATTGTAAATTTAAAATCCCTATGTTATTCTTATGTAGAATTTAAGTCAACTGTTGTAGTTTACTTGTGTATGAACATATTTTGATCAAATTTGGAAAGTACATTCATTTCTTACTGAAATATTAACATAAAAACCACCTTTTTACCCTCCCTGTTGCAGCAAACCTAAGTACTCGTTAAACTAATTCTATTTAAATAGGGAATAAATATGATATTTTTAAGGAGGGATTTTAATGTGAAATCCTATCAGGCTAATGGAAACTCGCTTAGACTGCAGGTTTACTGCGGCAGGGGTATTTTATATTTGGGTTGGACTCAGAAATCTACTAAGCAGTCTTAAATGTTACCGAAAAGATGATACACCTGAAACACAGACACCCATTCATATCCTTAAAATCCCTAAGGAAACACATGTTTTATCTATGGCAACACCTTGTGGACATTCAAAGTTGCTTAGTGGATCTTTTAGAAATAAATATTGATCTCCATGGTAGCAAAACAAAAACACCAAATTTAAATTTAGGTTACTTTGTTTGTAATTGATAAACTTATTGGTTATACATAGATGATTGCTATAAAAATAAGAAAATTTTACCAAAATAAATTAGTGCTAGTTCTAAAATCAGTGGTGAGTGTTTTCTTCTGTAAATTATCAACTAGGTAGTGACTTAATAGTGAACAAATAATAACTTCAACTAAACATTTTAGTTAGGATTTTTAGGTGAAAATCTATATTTATCAACGTATTCAGATATTGGTTGTAAAGGTGAAGTGACTGTCAGTTTTTTGGAAGCTCAAACTCAAGAGCTATTGATGTCTTGTGTAGTCTACTTCACCTTGCATATTGATTGGCGTCAATTCATTCAGCTTTCTATTCAATATTTCTACCTCCGTGTAAAACATCTGATTTTAGAATTTAACGTCTCCATCACTTTCTAGTCTAAGGATTGGTGGATCTAGAGCTTAATAGTAGCACACTCGAATCTAATTCAACTTTGTCCTTTTTGAGATAGGCCCTAACCTGGTGACTGTTAATCGATATGGATAAAATTTTCCCCTGGGTATATTAATGTCAATGTCATCAGGGTATCTTTTAAGTTTTGATTATCCAATCTTTTGCTATTTATAGGCATGCACTGTGGATGCGATGCTCCCTGGTGTGGATTAATGTCCCAATAGTGAGTACTACGGATATACGCAGTACTATCCTGATAATTAGACCAATTCGTTAATACCAAGGCAAAAATGTGGTTCGGATTCCATTATAAATAGTAGGTCCCTTAGTTGCCATTGGCTGTATGGGCTATTAATTAACAGCCCAGAGTCACTAACAAGACCACAAGATCGTGGCACTCCAATATGTCAAGATCCTACACTCATATTTGGGTTAAAATATGCACACAATGGGTCAGGAGACAGGTTCCATCATACAGGCTATACATACATACCTGTCTGCTACCCCTCACATCTTAGTTTTAGTGCGAAGCAGAGAACTTTGGCTCAGTCTCCGAGTATTGTTTTAATTTTACAGTTGTGGTGTTTTTACAATGTCAGTGAGTGAAAATTTAAAAACGTACGTTTTCAGGAAAAGCACTTTGAAAATTTTTTCCCCTTTTTTCAAAACTTTTATTATTTTTTTTATTTCATTAACATTTGAAGTTTCATAAAATGTCCATGGTAACGCAATATGTTTGGTAGTTTCTTTTTAAAAGAGCATCTTTAGTGGAAAAACACAAAATCCTGTCACGACCATAACGGACGTTTAAATGAATATTAAAAATAGTTAATATTATTTGTATTACTATGATTTGCTATAAACTAATTTACTTTTATGACCATTATATAATAAAAAGGTCACTGAGCTTTTGGTATATTTGGTCTTTCTAGAAAAAAGTAAAAAAGCTCAAAAAATTGAAAAAAGCCAATAAAATCTTTTTAAGTTTGTATAACTCCGAAAAAACTTACCTGAGACCCGAAAAATAGTTATGTTTGTATAGAGGTGTGCTTCTTTTGTGTTTAAAACATTGAAATATGACGATATTTTAATTTTTGAAATTTTTATGATAGAAATCATAAACGTGATGGTCAGGGACAAGCGGTACGGTCGTGAATTGTCTGGAATAATCTAAATCTTTCTAAACAATCCTTCAATTATCCTGTTAGTTATAATACAAATGTGTGTTTCAATTTCACTAAACTGTTCAATTTACAATTATATTAAAGTTATTGTCACGACCAAACACACTATAATCCATAAGGCTGGATTGGTCGTGAAAAAACCCGCGATGGTCGTGAAACTTTGGTCGTGAAATTACGAGTTATTTGGCTCTGTTCTGGCGGTAGCCCTGCACCTCATGTTCGAGGATACAAAGTGGACTTCTAGGTTAATCTAGCAATTGAAATATCTTATAAACAAAAATTAACACCATGACTACTTCATCGAATGACTACATACGGTCATGGACACACCAAAATTAAAAAAAAAACACAATCTTTCCTTTATTAATCTTGTAATTTCTCCTTTCAACTCGAAACAACCGGCACTACAATCCTGACGTACACCCCGAACTAGTCTCTAAAACCAACTGACTCCATCGACGCCAGGCTTGCCACGGTCGTGCTCCAAAGTTGAAAATTTTCCCCAAGTGGTTGTGACGCCAAATCGAGGGACAGACCTATTTTGTCATGATAGTCAGTTTGTAATGACAATAAAATTATAATATGCTCCTTTTTTGTAAGTTTAATAACCATTGATGACATAAAAATATGGCTTAATGTATATTTTGGCATGAATAATTAGTCTAAAAACAGCGTGAAAGTTGGAAAATGTACCCTAGGGACACGTCATGGTCGTGAATTTCGAGACTTTAAAAATACGAAAAAAATACCTAGAACCTATTTAAAACCAAATAAATGTGTGTAACATGTTGCCCCCGTCCCAAAAAATATTAAAACACATAATAATAAACTACAAATCCAGTATCTACGAAGTAAAAGGCCAGGGACATGAAAACGTACGTTTTTAAATTTTCACTCCAGTATGTGTTATTTTATTTGTGACAATAGCTTTGAAACAGAAAAAGTTAGTGGTTTCAATGGGAGAAAACAGTCTTAAACAGATTTGACATCAGAGGAACTTAATTATAATTATTGTGACTAAGTTAACAATGATATTTTCATTTTTTTACAGGATGGATGGAGGCGAGCCAACATGAGTGAGCTGCAGGCGACTGTTGAGTTCTCAGTCGAGCTTTGCAAGTTCTACAATGTCGATCTCTTCCAGCGCGGGTGAGTTTTCAGCAAAATGTTTACCTACATTTAATTCTTGAATCTCCACATTTACTAAGACGAGTTTGTGTCGTTTTTCAACAATCTCTTCAACACTCTCTTCAACAAATTTTGAATTTTTAAATAGGTTGCCAGCTTCTTTTAACTCTGAATTTGCTTATGGAATGAGCAAAGCAATCGTGAGCCATTAGAAGAATTAACTGTAATGATACATTTTAAGTGACACGATTGTACATGAAACAAAAAAATAGCTACCTAAATTTGTTCTTGAACCATCAATATCTGCTGGTATACGAACCAACAACATATCTGCTTTAATTTGTACACAAACAAACTGCATTGCTGCCTCAAATTCAAAGTGAACCAACAACATATCTGCCTTAATTTTTATATGAACCAACAACATATCTGCATTATTTTTTATGTGAACCAACAACATAGCTGCCTTAATTTATATGTGAACCAACAAAATAGCTAACTTTGTATGTGAACCAGCAACATAGCTGACTTAATTTGTAGGCTACATGAACCAACAACATAGCTGCCTTAATTTTTATGTGAACCAACAACATAGCTGACTTAATTTGTTTGTGAACCATTAACATACCTGCTTTAATTTGTACGTGAACCAACAACATAGCTGAATTCATTTGTACCGGAACCAACAACATAGCTGACTTAATTTGTACTTGAACCAACAACATAGCAGACTTAATTTGTACCTGAACCAACAATATAGCTGACTTAATTTGTATTAGCTGACTTAATTTGTACATGAACCAACAGCATAGCTGCATTATTTTTTACGCAAACCAACAACATAGCTGCCTCAATTTTTATTTGAACCAACAACATATCTGCATTATTTTTTATGTGAACCAACAACATATCTGCCTTAATTTTTACGCGAACCAACAACATATCTGCCTTAATTTGTATGCAAAATAACTACCTAACCTACCTAACAAGCTACCTTAATTTGTATGTGAAAAATATGTCAAAATGGAACATAAGGTGGCAATGTTCAAATTTATTTACTTTTCTTTCACTCAATATTTTTGCAAACACTGTGTTATTAAATCGCTTATCATCTTCCGATCCCTCAAACCGATGCAAAGATGATACAGACATGACATCCTTGCGAGTTAAAAATTATTCTAAAAAGGTAGCGTAATGTTGTTATCTTGTAATCTTAAAAACAATAGAAACTGCACAAATAAAACAGAGGTTTCAAATAGGGTTATTAACACTTTTCACCCTTGTTTAAGGCTATTATTCAGCCCACGGTTGAGAGTGATCATTATTTTAAAGTGGAGCCAGGTTTCTAAGCTGCTACCCTTACTTCGTACCCCTGAGGCTATTTTTCATCTTCCCCTTCTATTTTTTTGTTTTGTCCCTTGACAATGGTGAAATATTACTCTTTCTTGTGCTAACATAACAATTATTTCCCCTTTGGTTTTCATATCCTCATTATAAGATAAATTGTTTTAGTTTTTGATTGTTTATCTTTGAAAGATTGAAATTTGATAAGGTTTTGTTTAAGTTTTTACAGTAAAATTGACTGATGTTTACTTTTATACATTTCAGAAGTTCAATGGTTTCTGTTTTATTTTGGTTTATTTAAAAAAAAAGTGTTGTTTTTTAAGGAGTGCCGGTAGTTAAATATCCAATTGAATAGACCATTTGAATAAAGCTCTTAAAAAATTGAATGTTACTGTCCATGACTTCTTAAATTGAAAATTGTTCAACTAATAAGTCAATTTATTACGTAACATAGTTTTAACTAAAAATACAGTATTTTTTCCTCATAATTTATTTGTAGATAAATACCACTCTATTTTGCCTATGATCTTACCTTTTTTATTCCTAAAATTTATCTACAACTAGCAGAGTACCCGTCCTTCGTACGGGGTTGGCATATAAGTATCAAATGCTTATAGCAGTTATGAGTGAGGACATGGTTTAAGAAATTTCGGTTCTTTTTGAAGTTCGTTCGCTACGCTCACTCACCTTTAGGTTGGAGCTCGTTCGCTGCGCTCACTTTCCTTCAGGTTAGCTCGTTCGCTACGCTCACTTGCCTTCAGGTTAGCTCGTTCGCTACGCTCACTCGCCTCCAGGTTGAAGTTCGTTCGCTACGCTCACTCACCTTTTGCTGTTGTCATAAATGTAAAAGAAATAATAGTGCTAGTGCTGCACCCTGTTGGTAATCCTTGTAACTTTTAATGCTATTGAACATCATAGAACAGAACCAACTTGTTTAATTGAAACAGCTGTTAAGATTCATTAATTCCATTTCTCATAAGGTTAACATGGGAAACTCCAGAGCCACTGGGGCGGAGCCCCGAAGGATTTTTGGGATAAAAATATGCCTATATGTTAATCGGGAATGTGAGCTATCATCATGCCAAATTTCAGCCCGATCCGACCAGTAGTTTTTGAGATTAGCTCATACAAACACACACACAGACACCACCTCTTCTTTATAATAGTATAGATAGATAGATGTCTATTAAATCAATTAGATCTACGTAAAATATTTGGAGAGTATACATACATGTAAAATGATTAAAATTATGTGAAAACCATCACTAAACATTTATATAGGATAGCTATACAATGATTAATTTATTTGAACTTCAATGCTTACTCAAGTTCATTCAGATAGCGATGAATGTTATTTTATTAGGATTTATCTTAAACCAAACATACAATAAAAATTGTTTTTTTTTTTCATATTGACTTGTAAATGTAAATTAAATGTCCTTTAGTTTATGGGACTTTGAGACAGTTAATATTGTCAACGCGATGTGATTTAAAATAGTTGTTGCAATATACATCGTGGAGCTTGTTATGAATTTAAATTATCTAAGCATTATTTGTCCCTGTTATTTCTGTAAAGTCTCTGTTTATATTTTTCATTAATAGTGTGACATCGAACTGTTTTCCTGTCCTAAACACACATGTAAATTTAAAATACGTTTTCCTAGTTGAATGAATTAAAATAAATTTCATGGTTGCCAATGAAATTAATTCGATGGAAATACCGTAGTGTCTTTTGATCACCTTAAAATTTAATATTTATTTTGGATAAACAAAAGTTACTTGAGAATTAATTACTGTACAAGTTCCTATTTCAACTTTCTTTTAACGTCTAACTGGCATTAGAATGATGTGAACAATGCCAAAAATTTAAATTGCTCTTTGCCTTGTAGATTTGTTATTTTGAAACGGATTAAGACAATTTGTAGGTGGTTTTTTGGGGAATAGTATGTTCAATATTTTGTCGTGTAATTTAAAAACTATTACAAGCAAACCGTATATAAAATCAGCTTGCAAAGTCGATGGAACCATATCTTATTGGAAATCAGTTCACATTTTTAAGTTTTTGTAAAATGCATTAATTAACAACAATTATAATAATTCCATAAATAGCCCAAACATGTTGTCAGTTAAAAATCAATAGCTTAGCTTTAATTTGCTTACATGGAAAAATGTTCAGTTGTGTTCCGCCTTATTAAAACAATCGAACCTAAAAAATACAATTTAAATAAATAAAAATCATAATTAAAACAAAGAGAGGCAATACATGCGATGAGTAGCTCCAACAATTCAAGGCTGGACTTAGTGTTTGGCAATGTACAATGTGGGCTCACTACCAGCAAAGTCGTTAACCTTCTCATTCCTAAATATTCACACTGATTTGCTTACGTTGTAATGTGCTTTGAGTATAATTTTATAGCAATTTGACGGATCGTATTTTAAATAAATGTAGATATTCATAACCCCTTAACACGTTCCTTGCTTAATATTTCTTTTCCAAATACATCTCTAAGTTAAATAAACATTTTTGATGTTGTTGAGCTTCCCTTTTAAGGGGGCATCATACGCCCTATGGTAACAATGTAAAATTAGCAACCTTAATGTCCCATTTGCTTATAAATCACTAGAGCTATCAATCTGGATTTTTTAGGTTATAATTCATGCTTTTATATAGAACTGGTACCAATATAATTTACTTTCAATAAAATTTTTGTGTCTAAATTTTTTTTTTATTTACCTTAAATTTCACTTTTTTGTGTGTATAAATGGCAGTAATTTTTTTTCTTAAATATAGTATACTAGCTGTACCCGCGGGCTTTGCCCCGTTTATCTTCTTAATTTTTAAGATGAGCTCGTTCGCATGGCTCAATCACGTCCTGATTGAAGTTTGTTCGCTACGCTCACTCACCTTTAGGTTGGAGCTCTTTCGCTGCGCTCACTTGCCTACAGTTTAGCTTGTTCGCTACGCTAACTCGCCTCCAGGTTGAAGTTCGTTCGCTACGCTCACTCACCTTTAGGTTGGAGCTCGTTAGCTGCGCTCACTTGCCTACAGTTTTTAGCTTGTTCGCTACGCTAACTCGCCTCCAGGTTGAAGTTCGTTCGCTACGCTCACTCACCTTTTGGTTGCAAGCTGTTGTCATAAATGTAAAAAAATAATAGTGCTGCACCCTGTTGGTAAACCTATTAACTCTTAAATGCTATTGAACATCACAGAATCAACTTGTTTAGTTGAACCAGCTATTAAGATTCTTTAATTGCATTTAAATATAAGTACTCATGAGGTTAACATGGGAAACTCCAGAGCCACTGGGAAAAAGTCGGAACGGGCTTAAAAGTCAAGAATACTAGATCACATATTACTCAAATGTAAATAAAACCACTGAGTAAGGTTTCATAACAAAAATTATTTCTAAGGTTATAAATTGTTTTAGAACTATTAATAAGGTGTCATTTTGTTCAGGAAGTAAGAGGCTTTAATTTGAAACCAAAATAAAAAAAATTATAAACAATTATTTTATTGCGTGCAATGCCCCCTTGGTAAACAAAGGCAATCATTAATGGGTTTATGTGTTAATAAAATTCCAGCTTGGTTCATAGGTTTTTGCTACTGTAATTGAGTTATGATGGACAATACATAGTGTGTACAGTACCTCAAATAGTGAATTTATTAAACGAATGAA